TGAAAAAAAATTTTTTTTTTTTTTTTTTTTTATCATTTAAGGCTTTAGGGGACCAGATACTATTTGTAAATCGTCCTGATAAGAAGAAAATTCTTTTCTTCAATGATAAGAGCTGTCAGTTTTCTGTGGATGAAGGTGAGCCTTTCTGTTTAATTTTCAAATACGTTAGAAATAGAAGGTGACAAAATTTATATTTGTAATCGAGTTATAACTTAAATTTTATAGTAGTGCTTTTTAGCTTTATCATCTCTTAGAGCACAGCTAATAATCTTACCACTAACATTGTTTCTCAGAATGCAATTTGAAATATGTAATTTGAAAGATTTTAGGTTAATTGTACTTATCATAGTATAGTAGGTTATGATATGCTTATAGCTCAGCTGTACCAAGTAGCTTATTTCTTTAATTCTGTTATTTTACAAATATTACTTCATATCTTGATATGAAAGCTTGATGCAGGATGGGAAAAAACAAACTTTTGTTGGTGACTGATATTCTCTTAAATAACTTGTGAGTCTTTTGATTATCAGATTGGATAGGCAAGATTACTTTTTTCTGACTATTGTAGAGTCAGATGCTAAGCTTCTGTTGAATCTTGTACTAAACGTATGATGCCTATGTTTTGAATTTTAGTTTAAAAATGTTTCAGGGGCACCTGGGTGGCTCAGTTGGTTGAGTTTCTGACTCGATTTTGCCTTAGGTCATGGACTCAGGGTTGTGGAATTGAGCCCTGCATTGGGTTCCCCGCTTGGTGCAGAGTTTTCTTGAGATTCTCTCTCTTCCACTCCTTCTGCTCCCCCCACTCCCTGCTTGTGTGAGGGCTTTGTCTCTCAAACAAAATCTTTAAAAAAAAATATTTCATCAATATTTGTCAGGTAAAATAGTTAAACAAGGGTTTAGTCATGGAAAATCTTTACTATACAAGTAGAAATTCTCATTTAGACAAATATATTGTACTGTAAATTGTATTAATTTTGAACTAAAAAGGCAAGAAAAGGACTAAACGCCATTTTAATTATAAAATTTGAAAAGTAATACAAACTCATACCAAAAAATTCTAACGATATAGAATTACATAAAGTAACAAAGTAATATTAGATTCCAAATAGTGAAACTATTGCTATGACTGCCTGGGAGTCCTAGTGACTCTTGTTTATTGTATTGAATAAAAGAGATCCTACTGAAGAAATAATTTTGTATAAAAAATGGACATATAATTCTTATCCCTTTAGTAGCCCATACATATCTTGATTATGATTTTGTAATTTGTACTATGTAAGTTTTTCTTTCATATGTTATCTGGCTGTAGATACTCAGGCTTGTGGTGCTTGTAGATAGGAGTTCAGTCAATCTGAAGTTACTTAGATGACCATGATTTATTTTAGGAAATAGAATGTTGTATTTTGGTGGAAAATTGTGATTGAGAGTACCTTGTATGCAGTTGGTTCTCAGTAAATGTTTGTTACTTTAAAAAATTGTTTTCAAAGTATTCCAGTTATTCTGTATATTGTACTTTCTAATAAGGTAAGCTTCTGTGTGTAAATAAGGGAGTAGTGAATTTCTTTTTTATATTGTAGTGATAGATGCTCCTTTAAGAAAGGTTTGGCTTAGCAATTTTTGTATTGCTTGAGTCTCCTTTACTCACAGTTTTGCTTTTTATGGAAACTTTTATAATTGTCAAATTGACTTGACCCTTCGAAAAAACATAGGGGTGGACTTAATCTTTAAGATACTTACAGGTTTTAAAAAAAAAAAAGCTGATTCCTTTATTCTTTGGCATAGTTAATCCATTTGAAAAAATGCAGGATTAAAAAACATCATAAGTATCACATGTTCAAGTAGGAAGATCTTACAGTGAAAAGCAGGTATGTTTTTCCTTTCGCTAATTTGAGTCCCTTTCATTTGTGGCACTACTTAACTGGTTTTTTTAATTCTTTGGTGGTTCCCTTATTGTATTAAATAATATGCTTATATTTTTATTTCTTGATTTTTCAACTTGAAGTATTTTGACTTATTCTTATCATGTTACTGATTACACCTGCTGTCTCTCTTCTTCACTTTCTAATACTGTATAGCACTAGTTTTAGTTTCTCTGCCATTTTTCTTGTTACCTTTAACAATCAAAATAATTGAATGTTCTCAGGGAATTTTTAGTATTAAGTCCGCTCTGCAGATGGCAGCATAGTGCAGCAGATCTGTAGATGTTCAAATTGGGGCAAATGTTGAGGTTGCAGTAGCTCTGTAAGAATAGGGTGGAACTCTAGGATTTCTTGATAATAATTCATTGGAGAAATTTTAAGAGAATACCTTCTGTTCCGCTATAATCCTCACAGTAATCATTATACCAAGTCATTAGTATTTTCTGTCCCCAGTGCAATTTTTCTGTGGATATCACTGTTGTAACTTTACTCAGCTTTTTCCTGTTTGTGTACCTCTTTCTATATTTCTATTTCTTAATATTACTCCTGTTTTCATTTGCCATTTTATATGGGCTTTGTTGGCTTAAACTCTTCCTATCTCCTTATTACTTGGCTTATAAGGACAAGATGAGGATTTTCACTTTCTTCCACTCAGATT